TGTATTACTGTAATTATGATGGTTTTTTGTTGTTGTTGTGGTTTTGTGCCAGGTGCCCCGAGATTGTTGCAGGCCATTGCCAAAGATGAGATCATCCCGTTCCTGAGACCCCTGGCAGTGTCTTCAGGGTTACCGCTTGGGGCCTCCCGGAACAAGGAGTGGACCTACTAGACGGTCCACAGACACGACTAACCGTTGGAGCTGTTGTAGTGCGGGAACAACAGGACGAAGAAGGAGTACACGATGCCTAAACAAAACCTTGCCTGTGCCCTGCAGACCCTGCTGAGGACTCCCAACTGGAGACCGAGGTTAGTTTGACAACTCTGGTGTTTTTTTTTCTCTCTCTCTCAAGGCATCACTGAACACAGCTATGCAACATGCAAGGGATTCCAGAAAAAAATTTTGGGGTAGAACTTAAGATGGCGGATGATTGAGCTGAAAAACAGTTATTGTTCAGGAAAAACTGTGTTTGGCAAAAATAAATCAGCACTTTTTGAGAAATTTTGCAAAAGTCACCCTATGGCACCTCTCTGTTCTTCAGTCCAAACAGGAGGCGCCCATCTCTCAGATTTGTTGGTCTACCTCAGATTTCTCTTTGAAAATTCTTGAAATCGAATCAGAATTAAATCCGAGGGTTGCTTCCAGTTATTCCAAATTAATCCTACCATTTGCATCAACAGCTGCCAGAATATCATCCCAAGTGGTGCCTGTTGATTNATGCCGTTCTGTCGCTTCTTTTTTTTTTGTTGTTGCGTGCATTTGTTTCATTCACTTTCACGCTGAAATAAAGAAACGAAAATAAATTCTTGGACACGTGCCGTTTATTTTTTGGCACGTCCGGACACGTTTCTTTGAGGTCAGGTTTGACAAACGCGATTCACGCGCTAGTTGGCCCATGACAACCGGTAAATGCTTTGAAGAATTTTCATAGTTTGTATATTGTCATGTAAAGTACAGTACGTGTTTACGAGCTTTTTACCAAAACAATTTCGAGTTGGTTGGATGCCAAGATGTTTGCATTATTGAACTTTCGAAGAAAAAAGAAACCTTTTCTTGAAGCATCACACTTTTGAAACAAAATAATATCTTGGAAGAATTTTTATGTTTGTTGGAAAATTAAAGAATCTGTTACAAATTTTATTTCGACAAAAAAAGAGCTGCCTGGATTTTTCCACTTCTTTCATTCTCAGAATTGCTCCTCTTTGCTCAATATATTTTCACTCGAGTTTCGCTGTAAAAAAAATGGAAGGCTTTCATCATTTATATTTTTTGTATCGGCAATTAAAACAGTTATTCTAGAGGAAATTGGAATTGGGAAGTATGCGAACTTATGATCAACAGACTTTCTGAGGCACCTTTTAGATTTCCCAGATATCATTTTCAATTTGAAGAAGCTGGAAAAATTTAGATGTTTCTCAGGGATTGGTACAATTTATGTTAAACTGGCTTGAATATGTTGCTATATTTACTGTACTTTGAATCCAATCGAGAATATCATCATCATCATCATCATCAACAATTCCTTTTATCATCGAAGAACCATCGCGTTCGAGGTCGAAACACTAAAAGAAGGATCCTTTCGGATATATGAGGAGAAAGTCATTAAAGACAGCTATTCGTCATGCACAATGACCCAAAAAGACATAATGTACTGCCTTGCTTTGATGTCGAGTCCCATTCGAGGGATCTTTTGCCTTGATTACATGTCGAAGTCCCGAAGTACAGTTCTGCAAACGAATCAAATGGGGGAAAAATTCCTGTACTGGTTTTCTGTATGAGACAAACATAATGACTGTTTTGTGTGCTCAACTATATTTTTGTCTCCATTTCTTGAACGATGATTAATCCGTCACTACCCCTAATCTCACTTGATTTATTTTTCTCAACGTATGAATGAAATAATAAATATGTTCGAAACAGAGACTCTGTGATTGTGAAAATATTTAAATATTCAAGTTGTAAGTTGGTTGATGTCACTCGGATTTAGTACTGACTTTGGGATTACACACAATAAAATGGCGTACTTTTATTATTTTTTTAAAAATCTGGGCGACTCTCATTGTGATTCACTCACCTGGGAAATATATGAAAAGAAAAACGGATAGATGTGAATCATGCTTCTGATATTGCCACGATATTTTCCTATTTGGCACATCTTTGATTTTTCTATGACGATCACCATTCTTGGACCGAAATAAAGGCTCTTGATTGAAATTTTCGAATTTTTTGCTGTTGCGCAAGATGCTTTTTGAATGTCTCCAACCACGACTCGAGCGAAAAGTAATTTGTTTTTGAAGCGATTAAATTGTTTCGTCTCTGGTAAATGAAGAGGACACGAATTTCGTTGAATATCTGTTCGTAAATAGCTGATGAATATTTTTAATGTACTGTACTGCGAACATTTTTACGACGGAGGATAATGTATCGAACAAATTTTTTTCCATAGAATTTTCATTCGAGTAAGCAATAATAATTTTTAAAAATTAGTGTGATGAACCGTGAATGAATGAAAACATGGAATTACAAAATGCAGTCAATGAACGTACAGTATCAACACACATTCACATACTGTGTGTCTAACTTTGGCATGGTATTCTGCAAGTGGACAACTGGAAAATGCTTTACTTTTGCAAGCCTTCAAAATGTTTTTATTTTTTTTAAATCCGAAATATCCTTGAAATTCCTCTAAAAACATTAGCATCCAAAAATACGGACAATTTTAAATGCTTTTTTGTCAAATATCCTGGCAGGAAATTTCCGGGTCATTTAGACTTGAAACTTTCTCATAAAATTGTGAGTGTGATTTTTCTATGTTTCTTTGCCTGCTGCAAAATTGCCAACAATTTTGAATACTCCATAGCTATCTTGTTAAGCTTTGCATTCTTGGGTAATTCCTGAAATCCCGTTTTCCCCTATGTTCCCACCCTAGTGACGAGTATTATCAAATTATAATCTTTTAATCATTTCCAAAAAAAAAAATGATTCCAAGGCTTCATTTGAAAATGTACTCGTTTATAATTTATATTTACTTGCCACTGGCTGAGAAAAGAACCAGAATATCCTAGACTACTGCAGTGTGTATTTCCAGGGAAACTTCTTCGCGTATTTTCAGAAGTCTCCTTTTAAATCATTTCACTTGTTACTCGAGTGTGTTTTTTTTTAATGTACGCATATCGCAGCATTGCATATTGTATTTAATCCGATTGAAGATTGAGTTTATTTTTCTGTCCGCACTTGGATAACATTGTTGTTCGCTTGTTCCCAAGCGAGTGAAATGAATAATTTTGTGATTTACCGACAATATACTGTAGAAACTAGAAAGGTTTTTTTGTTGCAAGTAGGTGGTCTTCAGCGTGGAGTATTGTGTATACAGTATATCGCATTGATTGATTTTGTGTGTTTGTTTGTGTGTGTGTGTGTTTCGTAGATTGATCCAGACGTCGGGGATCGGCGGCCTGAAGCCCAACACCGTCATCGTGGGCTGGCCCCACTCGTGGCGCAAGTCGACGGACGAGCGGTCGTGGAAGACCTTCATTTCGACCGTGCGTTGCGTGGCGGCGGCCAAGATGGCCCTGCTCGTGCCCAAGGGCATCGCCTTCTACCCGGACTCGACCGAGAAGATCTCGGGCAACATCGACATCTGGTGGATCGTCCACGACGGCGGCCTCCTCATGCTCCTGCCGTTCCTCTTGTGCCAGCACAAGACGTGGCACAATTGCCGCATGCGCATCTTCACCGTGGCCCAGCTCGAGGACAACTCGATCCAGATGAAGAAGGACTTGAAGATGTTCCTGTACCACTTGCGGATCGACGCGGACGTGGAGATTGTCGAGATGGAGTATGCGGACATTTCGGCGTACACGTACGAGCGGACGCTGATGATGGAGCAGCGAGGGCAGATGGTGAGCAAGCTCAAGTTGACGAGGCGGGAGAGCAAGCAGTTTGTGCAGGGCCTGGTGGACCAGCACAGGGCGTCCATTTCCAGTCCGACGACGACGGCGGCGGCGACGGCAGTGGCGAGTGCGTCCAAGGTGCGTGTACTGTACTTCTTATACCGTACTATTTCTTATTGCACTGTACTGTAGTCGAATCTTGATGACTCGAACCTCTCTATGTCAAGTTTTGTTTTCAAGTCACTGTCTGATGTGGCTATTTGGCTATTTTATTGACACAGTAGGAAAAAGAGAAGCGATTGAAAATGTGTAAATTGATGTGCTTTATTGAAAGGAAGTGAAAGACTAAAGGGGCAAATAAATTGGTGCCTCGTCCAAGTTCATCTCCAATTGTCAACCCATTTAACTAGCAGTTCCATACCGAGAATATCACCAATCGCAATTTACTGTAATTCTCCTCTTTCTTTCTTCCTTTCTTTTCTTTTCCCGAACACAAATGCTTGTTTTTGATACTTATAGACAGTCGGACCCTCCGTAATTGGAATTTTGTTGCTGATGGTCCTTTGAATTTGGACTGGAAGAGGTTCAACTGCAAAGATGTTATTTTTTCGAGTCCATTAGGTTAAAAAAAAAATTAAGCTGACTAAGGACGAAAAAAAAAAGGCGAGCGATTTGCGCTGAGTATTTCCTTAATCGTAAAAAAGAATATTACTGGAATTAAAGGAGAAAGAAAAGTTTCGCGAGCTTCATCAAATTTCCTGCGTGATTTTAATGAAGCCTTAGCATTCATGATTGTTATCAGTGCTCATGAACACACGGTTTGAATCTATGGAAGCCGATTGAACTTGGTATGACTTGGTGTAAAAATTGTTGACCCAATTGTGTGACTGCTAGTGACATCTAGTCAGTCACATGGAAACGACGCGTGTGTTTCAAAGCAGAATCTGAACGGCTTCTCGCGAACTCTGATCGATTGCTGAAGTTCTGTGCAGTATATAGTACTGTACTTTCTTTAAAAAAAAAAAAAACCATTGAGAAATTGAAACCTATACGTGTGACGCAACTTTGTTGCATTGAGACTGGAAAAACATGTCAGCTATTTACCATCAGGGACGTAAATAAATTGAGAGCAAGAATTGCTTATTTGGATGTTCGTTGTAACAAGGTTCTGTTGTAAAATACCTTACTGTAATTTTGTACAATAGTTTCGAGGCAAGAGAAAAAAAATCGTTGCAATTTCTGCATCAACGGCCTCGAAGCCATGAAACCGGATTTATATGAAGTAAGGTCACTGTTTGTTGAGGGGTGTTTTCCCCCAGTTGCAAATTTATGTTTGCTGACCTAGTTTTATTCAACTTTGGTTATTAAGCGTGGATAAAATATACGCTGCGGGTGTCTGCGCAGTAATACTGTGTACTTGTTCGTTAGACGAAGGTTTAGAAATGCATGATTATCGATTCGACCTGACTCTTGTGGTTAGATATTCTCGGGTTAGGCCATTTATTTTTAGGGCTTCAGGGCTGCCAGTGTGCGGATAACCTTTCGAGTCATTGAAATTTCCCTGGGTTTATTTTATTTTGATTTTTTTTTACCATGCTGCTGAGAGTGTGAAATCATCAAAAAATTGAATCCATTTTGAAATGAGTCGCTTGTAGTATTTTTTTGCCCACTAAAATAAAAAATAATAACCGGGAGCTCTCTCTCTCTCTGTCTCTCAAGTTGATGACAGGACAGGACAAAGAGAGCCGTGGTGAAAAATCTGCGGATTTCAGGTTTTCTTGGAACAGGACTTGGACTTGGTCGTATATAATGTATCGGGGCAATTCTTTTCTTTCTCTTCCTGTGGTTTTTTTCTTTCTCTCTTCTCGGGGGAATAAATGGGAGGGGCGTTTTAGTGCCTTTTGCTTCACTACCAGGAAGCGGAAGAAGTGGTTCGTTTGCTTGCTGCTGGGGGACTCTCGAGTCTTGAATCAATAGCTCGTTAGGGTTGGGTTCTTCTACTACTGTATATACGGGGTGGGCCCGAGAGAAGAAAAAAGAAAAAAAAGGAAATGAGAAAATGCATATGACGGGGCTTTGTTTGTTTGTCTTGTCAATGTCGATCAAGTCAAAACACTAAAATGCCTGAATAAAGTTTAGTGGCGCACGGTTCAGTACTGTATTTTCGGAGAGAACGTTTGATGGGAGATGGGTTTGATTTGATTTCAAGGAAACCAACGTCGAAATTTAATTCCCGCCGTTTTATAAAAAAAATAAATTTTTGTTTCTGTGATGATGTGACGGAAATTGTATCCCTGATTTTTACGCAGAGAAAACGAAACATTTCACCTCAATGATTATTGTATTTTTCGTACTGTGTATGTGTTCCATTGTGCAGGCTTTTTTTTTAGCAATCTGCAGCATGACGTCTAGCGATTTTATTTTGGAATCCTGTTGAGAAATAAGGGGCATGTTTGTTTCCTTAATCGTATTCTAGATCTAACGATGCATGTCTTGAGGTGTGCTCTAATTTTAAAACATTTTTCACATAGGAATGCAGAACGAATTCGCCATTTGTTTCCTTTGCTGAATATTTTCCTAAAAAAAAAATGCTGGAGAGCGGGAATCCTCAGAATTAGCACACTACTGTATTTGATTCATATTTTTAATTTTTAAAGCGCATGTTATAAACTTGTAATTGAGAACACTTGTTGAAGTAGTTGCATTTAGTGCAACAAAAAGAGATGGATGTCTTCAAAAAACTGCGGCGAGAATACAAAAAATTAAGAGAATCATCATTTTTAAATGTTCGTTGAATTTCTGGTGAGAGTTTCTCTGCGCAATCCCAATTCATCGGAAATGTGTTGGAGGTTTTTAAAAAATGTGGATAAGGAATACTGTATTTGATGATGATCAGGAGGAGGAGGAGGAGGAGAAAGCTGAAATAATGTGGGCGTTGATTATGGACTTACGATTATTTTTTTCTTTTGTTTGTTGACAGGTGCGTTTCGCCGAGGAAGAAGAGGACCAACAGCAAAAGGAGAAGAGAAGGAATATGGGCGATGCAGACGACGCGGATGTGGCCCGAAACCAGAACCAGGAAGAGGAAGAAGAGGAGGAGGCGGTGGTGGTGGAGGAAAAGAAGGTCCCAGAGAAGAACGTCGCCGTCGACGACGACGACGATTTTGAAGAAGGTGGTTTTGGTGCCGGTGACCAGGACCACGGCACGACGGCCAGTTCTGGCCTGTCTCGCGACGGGTCCGTCAAGTCCGCGGCGTCGTCGTCGGCCAAGGAAAGCTTTGGCCACTTGCTCCAGTTGAAGCCGACGGAGGCGAACGTGCGTCGGATGCACACGGCCGTCAGGTTGAACGAGGTCATCGTGAACCGGAGCCACGACGCCAAGTTGGTGGTGATCAACTTGCCGAGTCCCCCGAAGGCGGCCAAGGGCGACTCGGACGCCAACTACATGGAATTCCTCGAAGTGCTGACTGAGGGCCTGGACAAGGTGTTGCTGGTCCGAGGCGGCGGTCGGGAGGTCATCACCATCTACTCGTAAATGAGAAGAGAAACGAAACGAAACGAAACGAAACGAAACGAAGCCAAACCAAACCAAACTCATCCCGTCTTCAAATGAGGGGTGTGTCTCTTGTTGTTCTCCTTCTTCATCTTCTTTTTTTCTTTGTTTTTTTCCTCTTGCGTACATCACTTGCTGTGTACTGTATTATTATTATTATTATTACCTTCTCCTCTTCATTTTTTAATCGCTGCCTTTCTGATATAAAAGCGTTCAGGCTCTTCATATCTCTTTTTTTTTGTTTGTGTGTGTCTTCCCCTCAAAAAGATTAACTGATCCGGGTTTAGTGAGAGGGAATTTAATTGGTCGGAGTTTATATCCGGGGGGGGGGGGGTTAAGATGGGTTTAATTTCTTTCTTTTCGTGGTATCCTTTTATGCTTTGGTATTTCTATTGTTTTTTTTGTTTTTGTTTTTGGGTGGAACTCGGTTGGAAATCTCAGAAAAATAAGGTTGACGCACGGAGGAGTTTCTGATGGATGATCTCATCCTATCGTTTTTTTCATGTAACTCGACGAAGCAGAATGGATAAAAGGGAAAAACCTTATAGTGCACTGTAACATGAATTATGAACCTTCTTTCTGAAGAAGGATTCAAGCTTAGAAATTGGAAGGATAATTTTGAAGGCGAGTTTTATTTTCTCACCCGAGAAACAGTCGTTTATTTGGAAATAATTCTTTGTCATTGTTGTTGTTGTTTTCCCCCCTAGGGAAAATGAGTGTCCATTAAATTGAATGGCCTGCGATTTGCTAACGCATTCTTTCCGAGAAAATTGAATCCGACTCCTTCTTCCGCTGGCGATTCAACTGAATTGCTCGAAGCAGCATATAAATGTAGACGCCAAGGACAGAAAGAAAAAGTAAAACAAATTACGCACTCATTCCTTGCATCATTTGCTCTGCTGCGAAAGCGAGTCCTTGTTAGCAATAAATGAGACGGACCCGTTCTCGGCATTTTGTCCTCTGTGCTGTACTGTACTGTATAGGCAATAAGGGATATGAGGAGGTTTTTTTTTCTTATGAGAGAAGGGGTACGGCTTCAAATCGTCGGGTGACATTTGGCTTCTGTTTTTTTTTTATATAGTAAGAGAGGCAGCCAACAAAAAAAAAGAAAACAAGTTGCAGCATTTTTCAAGCCCCGACCAGTTTTCCCGGTATTTTTGTTGTTGTTTTTTTGTGTGTGTGCATTTTTCTGCTGCGTTGGCTTCGTCATCGAAATGGGAGAAAATCTCGGGATCAGCATTTTTAAATACGAATTGCAGCAGTTGCGTCTCTAGAGATAGAGAGATAGAGAGAGTAGGGAGCCATTTGGTTGATTGCGTGGTCGATCAAACCCTTTTGCCCGGAAAGGGTTTCATTGTCGCAATCATGCAGCTAATTATCTTTTCCTTTCTGCGGGGGATTTTTTTTTCTCTCTATTCCAACGTTTTTTTTTTCTTATTTCGTGTGCGAATGTTGGACATGGAAAGCGACACTTGCGGCGAAATGGCTGGCGAAGGGTATATTCAACGTAAAGGGACTATTTATAAAACATTATTTTTCAGCTGAACCGTTTCTCGTTTTGAAGGGATTAGTTTTAGTTCTGTACAAAATAAACACTCTGGAGCCAACATTTCTTTGTACAGTATTTGCTTGTGCAAAAATTAATGACTTCGCAAGTTTCGTTACGCAATTTAGGCTCAGTTTCACTCAGTTTTACTTTACTTTTTTTCTTCTTTTTTCTGGGGCATTCATTCAGAAGAAAACGCCAAAATTAAGTTTCGAAGAATAACTTCTTCCTTCTTTTTACGACCAATGTTCTTTTTTTAAAGAATTCTTGATCCATGTTGCCAGAACATGAGACAAAAAAAAAAGTTTTCAGCTCTCAAGGACGATTGAGAAAAATATAGCATTTTTAGATAATAAGGGATTACGAAATTGTTGCTAAAAATGTTGGTCGATAATCGAAGTGCAAATTCCTTGTCCAGAAATTTCGCCGCAAGTACGCAAAAAAGAATTCAGGCGAAAAAAACGCATATCTTCAGCGAATGAGGTGGGAAGGAAAGAGAAAAGAAAAACATTGTGTTTTCCAAAACCGGAAGTTACCAATTCCAAGCATCACATCCGAAATCGGAGTAGTTTCACGAATGAGGAAGAAATTGTCATTTTTGGTTTGACCAACGCGGAAAAAAAAACGCGTTACATGTGAATATTTACGCATTTATACAAACTCGACTAATGACGGACACTTACGATGGGGTGTTTCTGAGAAGTCGTGCGAGTTACCAGCAAATTTCAATTTATTTATTTTTTTTCTTCGGATGATACGCCAGAAAAATAAAAAAAATGCAACGATGGGGAAGAGTTTTACATATTTTTCGGATTTTCCTGTTCTTTTTTTTGTGGATTGAAGTCATTGTAAAAATATAATGGCGGTAGAATTTTCACACCCCAGGTTTTTGAAAATTATTCAACTTCATTCATTGGATTCGTCCCCGATTAATTTTCTCTGATCACTGAGAGAGGTTATGTAAAAATATTTCAGTCGCTTTTGTTCTTCAGCTAGAAATTGGGAAAGTTCGAAAAGAGAAAAGAAAATTAATTTTTGTACCTACTTGTAGTAGTTGGAATTGGCGTGAAATTGTACTCCTAAAACGGGAAAATTAGTTGATTCGAATCTGAAAAGAGGTGGTTGTTTTTTTTTTTCTTCAACTATGCAGAAAACATTCGTGGGTGATTTCGCGAGACTTGTGAGAAACTCCTCGTTTTCACCGACTTACAGACGTATACTTTCTTACACGTTTCGGCTGTGTAAAACGTCGTGCGTTTTTTTGTTTTGTTTTTAGTGTGATGTTTCAAATGATGTTTTTTTTTTTAGTTTGGTTTTCTAGAGAGAGGGGGAAACCAGAAAGAAATGTAGATGTTGCTGAGCATTCGGGTTCATTCGTTGCTTCGGCGGAAGAAAGCAGGTTGTCGTAGGTCAATGTTTGTGATAACGAGCTTGAAAAACACTTGTGTGAATGTAAGTGAATGACTGACGCGGCTTTTTTCTTTCTTTTTTCTGCGTGAAATTATATTGTGTCAATTTTGTCGTTGTCGTCGGAAGAAACTGAACATTGCTTTTTTGTTTCGAGAAGTATTGAAACGCGCTTCGAGGAATTCGCTGACGAAAACCAGGTTTTTTTGGTTGTTTTCTAATCGACTTACGATAGAGTTCAGTTGATGTTTTTTCTTCTCCCTCAAAAATTAATTTCGAGTGTGAATGAGAAACGAGTTGAAGACGAAAAAGGGGAGGGGAAAAAAACTGAGTTTACCGATTAACTGAGGAAAAGAATAAAAATTGCGCTTCGGTCCTGTTGCGCAGTTTGTCATTTTCTTCCGTGGCTCGAAGCAATTTTGTGATTTTGGCACTTTTCGGAAGAGCGAAAGCGAGAGAAAAAAAGGGGGAAAAGCCTTTTTCTCGGTGTTCGGAAACCGGATGCGTTTTTCTTTTTTTTTGGGTTTTTCTCGCGAGGAAAATGCGATTTGCGAGAGCGAGTGTGTGTGTGTGTGTGTTTTTAGCGACAATCCTTATATCAACGAGTCGTCAATTTTCTGTTGCTGATTTCCATTTTTTGGCACTTGAGTTGCTTTAGGTTCGTCCCCAGTTTTCAGCTCAACGTTTTGCTCACATCATTTTCAGCAGAATTAAAAAAAAGAAGAAGAAGCAAGTTGAGGGAATCACATTGAGGAAGAATCGTGCTTCTGATGAAAAGGTTACCGCAAAAAAAAGAAGAAAGAACACGTGGTGTTTTGTACTCCAAAGAAGAAAAAAAGAAAAGAAAACCGAAGTTACTAATCAACCATTCCTGACCATGTTTTAGGTTTTTCCTTTTTTTAGCACAAAAAAAGAGAGGGAGAGACTTCCTAAGAGAAGCGGCGGGAAAGAAAACCAAAACACTGCCTTGTTTAGCATAGGCAAAAACGACGATTCTTTTGCCTAACAGGTGGCTCTTTTTCTTCTGCTATTTTCAGTTGGAAAGTTGCAGCGAAAGGCGCAAATTGAGAATTAAGATACGTTTTTTTTTGTGTTGTTTTTGTTTTTCAATTGTTTTTCGTGGACTCACTGAGCTTTAAGTTTTATTTTATCTTTTTTTGGCGGTTAGTTGATTTTTTTTTTCGTTCGTTCGCGTAATGAGGCAGTCTTTCAGGAAGAGTTCGTGAGTAGGATTTTAGGGTTTGTGTCTCCTGATGACCTTTTTGACGAATTTTGGAAGAGGAAAAAAAAACAATGTTGAGCATCGATGTTTCCACTGGCGAACGAAGAGGGAAAAGAAAACCGAGTTTGTTGATTCAAAAACATGGTGTTTTCTTCATTTCCTTCCCTTTTTTTACTATGAGTTGTTAGTTGTTACTAGAGACACAGCTGAGTGCTTATTTTCCGCAGGTGTATTTTTCGACTCGAGTTTTGTTTTCCATTCAAAAGTAGTTGTTGTGTCTTGTGTAGATGCAGATTTCAGGACAGTTTCAGCGCTGCAATTCAATGCTGGTGATGGTTGAAGGAAGCAGGTTGGCACAACTTTGGGACCCACATTGAAACGTCACTTGATGGTGGTGAGTTGAGTTCCTCTTGTTTAATTTTTTAATTTTTGCTTTTTAAATGTTTGGAAAACTCAAATCTTAAATGGAGTAAATGCCGATTTGGAATAAATTGCCTGATTGAAGGAATGGACACATGTGCATCAAGTTTTGAAATGTAGTGCTAGCAGTATTAATTTTTAAAACATTGTCCCATCAATATTCCATATTATTTCCACGTGGGTAGATGTCACTGGCAGTCTTGAGTTTGACAATATTCCCTTCCATGTGTCTCTGGAGGTTCCAGTTGGGGGGGTTTTTGGAACTTTCCTGTTATCTCAGTACCTACTTTCCTGTTATCTCAGTACCTACTTTCCTGTTATCTCTGTACCTTCCCTAAGTTTCTGCTTTCTTTGGGTTTCTACTGAAACTGATTTTGGGAGGCGGTT